AGTACACTGAATATTCTTCTAATTTACTGTGTCTTTGATTTGAATTTGATTCCACCAGGATCCATAATTATTACAAAGGGAATTTGAATCTTTCTTAATCAGCATGAATGATTACCACTACTTCTGATGAGGACTACGATATCTACGTATCGTATTTTCATGTACGTATTTTCATGAGTGCTGTGTTTACTTCTTGTAACCACAGTGGGAAGTGAGTTGTAGTCCTGTCTCATTATATACAAGAGTCCACTGAGGCAAATACCAACAAGTGTTCCAGAGTCAACCCATTTTAAAATATCTCAGACTGTAGTCCTGTCTCTGATTCCAAGTTCTGTGCACTACAAAAGAGAAAACAAATGTTTAATGCACTAGCCTTTTCCCACCACAGTTGATTCATTCAACCAACCATTATTTAGTGAAAATGTACTATGTGCTGAGATATAATGATAAACACAGTAGAAAGAAGGGAGTGTAAGGCTCATCGAGGGGAAGTACAGCCTTCTTTTTTTTTTACATATTTAATAAACTATATTTTTATCTTTATTACCAATTTTAAGTTCACAGCAAAATAGAGAGGAAAGTACAGACATTTCCTATACCTCCTGCCCCAACATGTGCTCAGCCTCCACTGCTCTCAATATCCCCACCAACTGATACATTTGTTCATAATCAATGAACATCACAATCACCCAAAGTTTATAGTTTATATCAGGGTCACTCTTGGTGTTATATATTCTATGGGTTTGGAACATGTATAATGACATTTATCTATCATTATAGTACAGAGTATTTTCACTGCTTTAAAAAAATCCCCTGTGCTCTGCCTATTCACCCCCCCCCATTCTCTGACTGATTGTTTCATTGTCTCCATCATTTTTTCCTTCCCGCAAGGTCATATAGTTGGGATCATACTGTATGTAGCCTTTTACATTGGCTTCTTTCACCTGGTAATATCCACTTAAGATTTTTCCAGGTATTTTCATAACATGATAGCTGGTTTCTTTTTAGCACTGAATAATATTCCATCGTCTGGATGTGCTACAGCTTATTTATCTATCCACCTGCTGAAGGACATCTTGATTGCTTCCAAATTTTGACAATAATGGATAAAGCTGCTATAAACATCTATGTGTAGGTTTTGTGTGGATGTGTTTTTAATTCCTTTGAGTAAATACCAAAGGGTGTAATTGCTGCTAGCCTCACTACTTCATGGTAATTAGCCAAATTCATGAATGATGCGTTTATGATTAATTCACTCAATTAATTATGAAGAAGAAGGGGGATAGAAAAATAATTGCCATCGCTTCTCGGCCTTTTGGCTAGGATCAAGTGTAGTATCTGTTCTTATCAGAAAAATAATTGCCAGATATTTCATCACTGCCCATCCCTTTGGATTGATGCATTGGCTCATGCATCTAAATTACTTTCAGTCGAGGCTTTTCCTCTGCAATTATTGATACAATTGAGATAATTGAAAACTTTTAAAACTGCAGGGTGACTTTGGTAGAATTATTTACCTGAGACACATGCCACCATTAAATATGTCAAAGATATCAGTCACAAGGTAATATCACTATGACAAAGGAGACAAGAATATACAATGGGCAAGATAATCTCTTCAATAAATGGTGTTGGAAAAACTGGACAGCTACATGCAAAAAAATGAAACTGGACCACTTTCTTACACCATGCACAAAAATAAACTCAAGATGGATTAAATACCTAAAGGTGAGACCTGAAACCATAAAAATCCCAGAAGAGAACACAGGCAGTAATTTCTTTGACATTAGCCGTAGCAACATTTTCGAGATGTATTTCCTCAGGCAAAGGAAACAAAAGCAAAGATAAACTATTGGGACTACAGTAAAATTAAAAACAAACAAACTGGGGTGCCTGGGTGGCTCAGTTGGTTAAGCGACTGCCTTCGGCTCAGGTCATGATCCTGGAGTCCCGGGATCGAGTTCCGCATCAGGCTCCCTGCTCGGCAGGGAGTCTGCTTCTCCCTCTGACCCTCCTCCCTCTCATGCTCTCTGTATCTCATTCTCTCTGTCTCAAATAAATAAATAAAATCTTTAAAAACAAACAAACAAACAAAAAAAAAACTTTTGCACAGTGAAGGGGGCCATCAACAAAGTGACAATGCAACCTACTGAATGGGAGAATATATTTGTAAATGGTATATACAATAAGGGGTTAATATCCAAAATATATAAAGGACTTGTATAACTCAATAACAAAACAAACAAACAAACAAAACCCCACTCATAACTCAATTAGAAAATGGGCAGAGGACCTGAATAGACATTTCTCCAAGTTAAGACACACAGATGGCCAACAGACACATGAAAAGATGCTCAACATCACTCATCATCAGGGAAATGCAAATTCAAACCATAATGAGATATTACCTCATACCTGTCAGAATGGCTACCATAAAAAAGATAAAAAAATAACAAGTATTGGTAAGGATGTGGAGAAAAAGGAACACTTGTTGACTGTTTTTGAGGATACAAATTGGTGTAGCCACTGTGGAAACACTATGGAGTTTACCCAAAATTTAAAAATAGAAAAGTAGTTTCACTACTGGGTATTTACTCAAAGAAAACAAAAACACCACTTTGAAAAGATATATGCACCCCTATGTTTCTTGAAGTATTATGTATGATAGCCAAAATATGGTTAGCAACTGAAGTGTTCATTCATAGATAAATGGATAAAGAAGATGTGGTAATTATACACACTGGAATATCACTCAGCCATAAAAAGAAGGAAATCTTGTCATTTGCAACAACATGGATGGGGCAGAGAGTTTTATGCTAAGTGAAATAAGTTAGACTGAGAAAGACAAATACCATGATTTCACTTATATATGGAATTTAAAAAAATAAAAAGCAAATGAACAAATAAACAAAAAGCAGAACCATATGTATAAATATAGAGAACAAACTGATCTTTGCCAGAGGGGAAGTGCGTGGGGGGTGGGCAAAATGAATGAAGAGAAGTGAGAGATTTAAAAAAAAGGGGAGAGAGAAAATATGTCGAAGATATCAGTCACAAGGTACCTTTGGAATACAACCCAAACTACCTTTTAAGTGAGTAAAACCCCATACAACATATTCGCTGTTTTCTCTGGAGATTAAATGTGGAGCAATAAGTGAATGTTTTTCAGGAATTTATTGGTTTATGTGCTTAACTAAATAAGTATCTTAGTAAAGGCTTTTTAAGGATCTGTCATTTTATATGGTCATAACATAAACATGAGAAAAGTTACCATTTAAAGAAATCAATGTGCAACCCTATATATAGGATTTTAAAATTCCAGATTTGTTTTAATCATTGGCTTCCTTAAATTTGGGGGCAATCTCTTGCCTCGGAGATTCTTATTTCTTACACTGAGTTTGTGTCCTCTGCTGTCTTTTCTTCCTGTGTCCTGTGTATTTGGTCTGGAGCCATAAGCGTCCCCTAGGACCACTTTGGACGTTCCATAGGGAAATGCAGACCTGTCCTATTTTCCGGATGACCCCCTCTGAAAAAGTAGGCTGGTGATTCAGATACAATGCAATCCACGAGGGCCTGTAGGCTGCCATTTCTACTGCCTAAAGAGCCATCAGGGAAGGTCTGGGACTTCCTTTTACTTAGGGCTTCATCTCAGTGGTTCCATTTTGAAGAGAAAAAAAAAAAAATTGGTTTCCGAGCCAGCTAGTTTTCCTCTATCGTAGGAAAGCCAGGACTCTGGACATACACTGGAGGAACCATTCAATTGTGTTATTATTCATTTTGTCTCTGACAGCCTTCAGTTTTGGGGTGAGACATGTTTTCATTTTCCTCCTTTAATGCAAGACATTTTAAACATGAATTTAAAGTCTTAAGATAAAGAATGTGTGTTCAGTGTCTATTCTTGTCGCCCATGGCCTCCCTTTCAACACTTTTACTACGAAATATGTTCTCATGCAAAAACAAACAAAACAGCAATCATACATACAAAATCCTTTGATTGTATTCACCTTATAGGACTTCCCCTTTAGAGAATTATGTAATTTGGAAAACTAAGTATGGATGCATCTCCTTAGAGTTAACATTAAAATTTAATTATGAAAGGGTCTCTCAATTGTTGAACGTCTGTGACTTCTCTTTCTTAACTTGTGCACTTTTGCATCTGCACATTATTTTTATTCCTCCAGTTTCTTTGGCTCACCCCAATTAGTGGATTCTCAATACTTTAAAAGATGTATCTTGTCTTTGATAGCAGGGGGCATCCCTTTATCTTCACACTCCAGAAAATAGATAATAAATAAATACTCAAATTGAAAAGGACACTACTCACTAGCTGGGCTATTTTGGATCTTTGTTCACGTATCTGTTCTGACTTTGCCGTATTGGCCCCCTACAACCATGCAATGGGAGGCAGCGAATGTGCTAAACATTGTATCAGATTGTAACAGAATTAGTATTGAAAAATTATCCATTTTACTATCTGGGAGGAAACTTTAGCGCGGCTCAGAATGATCAGCTCACATCAAGGGGCAGGAAATAGATTGTGCCCAGTTTTCGTTAAGTGTGTGAACTCCCTCTGCAGGAGCTGATTGTCCCATCCTGCCCTCCTGACTCCCAGATACCTCTCACCTCTGCCACTCACTTTGCTCTTCCTCTGCCATTCGATCGGTCTAAGCTCCCCTAATGCATATCTCATCAGTCATCATGACTATTGCTATAGTAATATCTTGTTGTAAAAGTAGACTTCTCTACCCTCCACGCTGCGTTCCTCCCCATGACCGTCCCCTCCTGTGCGTACAGCACGCTCCTCAGTCTCTCACCATTACCGTATACACATTGTCAGGTACTCTTCATCTTAATTCCCCGTGTAAACTTCCAATATACACCAGCCTTGTTTATCCAGGGCTCATCATGCGTTTTCAGATCAGCACCTCCCTTATCCCCCGAACTTAACCCTGAATGTGAACAGTCTTCAGCCTGAACTCTTTTTAGGAGCTCACCTGCTTTCCTGTGCCTCAAAATGTGTTTGTATCACAGTGATTGCTAGCGATGTGCATCCCAATAGGACTTACCACCACACTGAATCTGCGCATCCCCCCTCTCCATTGCTCTTTCCCGGTGAGTGTCTCACAGGATATTTAAATCTAAAGTTTTCATTCGTCCACCTTGCACTGTTGCTGTATTCATAACCCAGGCATCACCTCTGATGCTTCCCTTTGCCTCCCTCCCCACAGCAAACCCATCGACTTGCTTGCACCTCCAGCATACGTCTCAAACCCACTGTGACGGTCCCTCGTCCTGTTACCCGGGAGGGAAAAATACAGCCAGTCTGGCCTGGGTTATAGCAGGAGGCTTCTGATTCCTCTCCTTCCTGCATTCATGCCAACTCTGCTCATCCCCCACTAGCAAATAGTTACCCGGTTCAAGTGAAAATGGTCTGCAGGGCAGAATGGACTCAAACCCAGCTTTGCTCTAAAGATGGGAGCATCACAGGTTCCTGGAAAGCAGCGTCCCTGAGCCCCTGGGGTGCAGGCACACGCCTCCATCCCCAGGACTGCACCAAGGCCCTGCCTGTGCATCAGGGCTTTCTTATAAACCTTCACTTCCTCCTAACCAACTACAGTTTGATTTTTAAGTAGAAAAGAACACTCATATCCTCCTTTTTAAAATATTTATTTATTTATTTATTTATTTATTTATTTATTTATTTATGAGAGAGAGAGCGCGCACAAGCAGGGGGGGAGCAGCAGAAGGAGAGGGAGAAGCAGGCTCCCCACCGAGCAGGGAGCCCGATGCGGGGCTCGATCCCAGGACCCCGGGATCATGACCTGAGCCGAAGGCAGATACGTAACCGACTGAGCCAACCAGGCACTCCGTCCTGTTTTTGTTTGTTTTTAATTTGGCCTTTTTGTATGAAATAGAAAGCTGTGATAACATAAAAAATTTTACTGTATAATCCTACAAATCATTAGCCAACATATAAACCTATGTAACTTCTATTAAATTTCTCAGTTCAGATTCCAGTGGGTTGCATGAAAATTGTATGGATCTGTTGGCTTTAAATCATTTGTCTTTTTTACACTTCAAGTGTTAAATATAAAACTTAACTTCTATTGTCTATTACAATTGTATTTATCTCATGGAAATTAAAAGCTGGCTAATTTAAATTGTATAGGATAAATACTTATTTTTCCATGTAAATGTGAGTTTAAGTTAATTAGCAAAATGTTATGTAAATATATGCAAATTGTACTTTAAATATTTACATAATGTGAAATTTTAAAATTTTCTGTTTACTTGTTAATATAAACCTGGAAACAGTCAATACAGCTTGCATAATTTATGGGTAGGGATTTGAGGCATAAGGGCATTTGAGTTAATTATATGGTTAAAATATTCAAAGCAGAACTTGTTCATCTATGCAGTATCCAGCAAGTCACGTAAATGAGAAATTGCAGCATTTTGAAACATTTTGTTTTTTGTGAGT